TAAATCTGCTAGAGTCAGCTGAAAGGGATCGTCTTTTTGTAAAACATTTGCCGTTGACTACATTTTGTGACGTCGTAAGTTGTTATTTAACAATTTACATGGTTGTAGATGTTTACGTATTTCTCTGTATTGTATCTTTTCTTGTGTTGTATTACGTTAGACGAGTTTGGTGCCAGGTGTTTCTGTTCTTTAACTTTTTTCACTTTTGAGAACATGACTTTATCTACCTAGACTGACCAAAATTTACATGTCTGTGTCTTCGATGAAGCAGAGATGTTTTCACCTCCGTAGCACGTAAAGTGTAAACAGTGCCCACTGTTTAAACTTTACCGATGTCGATATACTAGCTTTATCTTAATGAACATTATTTATAAACCTCGAGTTAGTATCTCGAAACCTCTTGTTATTAAGTCGAATTTGGAATGATTTAATCGAAATTTCGAGATTATAGCTCAAAATTTCAAACTACTAACACGAATAAACTCGAACAGCCTTCTATTCTACCTGTCCTTTATGCCTTTCCGTAACTTGGTGGTGCCTATTTTGTTAGATCAGCTGGATTATTTGCGTTGTAATATTGAGTTGCCTCCCTTCGTCTGTAGTAAAGATTCGTTAACGTCAGTTTGTCCAGGAATACTGATTCAGTAATACCTATTGCACTGACCTAACATAAAACAATATTTACCTTTACATGACAAATACTGTTAACCTTACCTTTGATGAAAAAATGTTTTTAACCGACAAATATATGAATTATGTCCAAATAAGATACGGACTGTACTATATTTTTTATTCCAATTATTCTCTATGAAAGAAATACTTTGAGAGTGTCATTCGTGGTGATGAGAGACATCCAGGCATGTTACCATTAGTGGTGACGAGAGACATCCTGACATGTTACCACTCGTGGTGACGAGAGACATCCTGTCATGTTACCACTGGTGGTGACAAGAGACATCCTGACATGTTACCACTCGTGGTGACGAGAGACATCCTGACATGTTACCACTCGTGGTGACGAGAGACATCCTGACATGTTACCACTCGTGGTGACGAGAGACATAATTATCATTTCAGATGTTCACGCAATTGTTAATTAACTGACATATCCTGTTCGCCGTTGATCATAAAACAAAGAACATCTGGGAAACTGAACGACACAATCACTCCCAGCGATGATGTATAATAGTGTGAAACAGAAATATCATCAAGTCATTGTAAATAACCAACATGACTTGACAAAATAACCTCCGCGTTGATCAAATACCGTGTGCTAATTTGGAATATCGAGGCGTACATCCAGATGTGTCTATTTGAAATAAAATTTTGACTTTGTTGTTCAATTTTTTTTTCAATAGCAAAAATAAGATAAATTATTTGTTGCTAGGATTTTAATATATTGAAAACAGGTAAGTGAGCTTCAGTAGTGGAAATACTGTAGGAATTATATCGATTGCGAAAAGTTATTCAAATTGTTTTTGCAGGAATGGAATCCAGTATATGAACTCTTAAATATTGATCTAGAATCTCTGTACATTCTTGGTGAAAGTAAAAACGCCATATCATCGTTTTGGTTGAGTGACGTCACCCCTCAGGAAATGACGTTGTGACCTATATACATACGCAAAGGAGGGTGTTTGTGCGTTGGCGTTTGTACATGTGGCGTCATCAGTATGCGTGTTTCGGGTTAGTTTTCAGGACATAATCGAGTTTTTGTTATGCTAGCAGGTGTGTATTTGTTAAGTATTCACGACGTTAGGAAGGATAGATAATTGACAATACAATTCCAGTGCAGTATAATTGATTTTAAGTGAATTTCAGGAAGTCAAAACGAGGCAAATTATACTCGAAAAACAGCTTTACTTTTATAACCTCGGATCACTACCGGATGTACTGTGCTTTTATATCACTGAGATATCTTATTGACGGTACATACTGTAACTAGTGAACTATGTCGTATACTGTTTCAGTTGAAACATCTGACCGGTCAGCATGCAGGCTGATTTACACCAGTACCAGTCGACACTGTCTGTTCCATACACCAAAGTTATCATCATTTTGATAAACAGATATCATAACAAACGGTGGCACAGGAACAGTGGTATTATGACTATACGAATTCCACAGAAAGTCTCTACCGACGTAATTGCATCCCCCCTTTTTTATCACATATTTATACGAGCCTCGATAAAACAACAATCCATCCTATTTTGTTAAGTTTGATTATATTAAGTATCCGTCATGATCAAACTATGGTTAAAAAAGTAATAAAAAAAACCAACATGCTATCCATGCAATCGGAAACCCTCGGAAACCCTCGGAAAGTGCCGATGGTTCCCGATTGGCTATCCATGAAGAGATCACAGCTAAAGATTTCTATTTACTGGTTGTCGAGATCAAAACCGTATTAGATTTCTTACTCATAAAATGACTTCATAATTTTAAAATTCCCAACTTCCATCATTGCATTTTACCAGGTTTCCAAAGACCAAAAGTTCCACTATCAAAAGAATGGTCTCGTTTTCAATGGACGCCTTCATGAACCGCTCAAGAACCCGTATAAAACGGTTTACCCCATTGGCTAGAAACTTAATCAAGCATCCAATCTAGTAGTGGCTACTGTTCTTAGCTCTAATAATACGATTTACCCCACATAGAATAAGTGGAATGTAGATTTTTATGAAATTTATTACATGAAATGACAAAGAAACTTCCTATTGAACTAATGGAAAAACAGTCTCTCTTTGACAACTTGTTACGGAAGAATCTCTCAGAACATCTAATATAGACTCAGCCAAGCTCTCAAATAACAGATATTCTACCGACTGTTTATATCAGAGATTCACGTATAATTTCGTTTTAAGGTCGGGTAACGATTATACAAAATATGTTTTAATTTGTTCATTCGTCCCTAATCACGTAGAATAGAAAATGTGTTAGGTATTCGTCTGTCCCTGTGTCCAGAAATTGTGTTACATACTCGTTTGTCCCTGTGTCCAGAAATTATGCTACGTGATCGTCTGTCCATTTGTCCAGAAATTGTGTTACGTACTCGTCTGTCCCTGTGTCCATAAATTATGTTACGTACTCGTCTGTCCCTGTGTCCAGAAATTGTGTTACGTGATCGTCTGTCCCTATGTCCAGAAATTGTGTTACATACTCGACTGTCCCCGTGCCCAGAAATTGTGTTACGTACTCGTCTGTCCCCGTGTCCAGAAATTGTGTTACGTATTCGTCTGTCCCTGTGTCCAGAAATTGTGTTATGTACTCGTCTGTCCCTGTGTCCAGAAATTGTGTTACGTACTCGTCTGTCCCTGTGTCCAGAAATTGTGTTACGTACTGGTCTGTTCCCGTGTCTAACAATTGTGTTACATACTCGTCTGTCCCCGTGTCTAGAAAGTGTGTTACGTAATCGTCTGTCACTGTGTCCAGAAATTGTGTTGAGTACTCGTCTGTCCCCGTGTCCAGAAATTGTGTTACATTCTCGTCTGTCCCCGTGTCTAGAAATTGTGTTACGTACTCGTCTGTCCCTGTGTCCAGAAATTGTGTTACGTACTCGTCTGTCCCTGTGTCCAGAAATTGTGTTACGTACTGGTCTGTTCCCCTTGTCTAGCCATTGTGTTACATACTCGTCTGTCCCCGTGTCTAGAAAGTGTGTTACGTAATCGTCTGTCACTGTGTCCAGAAATTGTGTTACGTACTCGTCTGTCCCTGTGTGCAGAAATTGTGTTACGTACTCGGCTGTCACTGTGTCCAGAAATTGTGTTATGTACTCGTCTGTCCTTGTTTCCAGACATTGGTGTAATATGTATTCGTCCGTCCATGTGACCAACTATTTTTGTATTTTTTCTCCATTCTGTGTCGCAAGGGGGTTGTGCTTCATCTTCCTTCGTCCCAAGTGCTAGAGGGCGTCCTGCAATGTATGTAAGCTCCTGCTTCCCTGGTCCTGCAGAATAATCGATCGATACTGTTCTGCACCCTTGACCCAGTAAACCGAGATTGATACTGAAGTATCACGTGCGTAGGCGTCGTACAACAGAAATATCATTCGCTTGGTCATATATCAACTTGTCAATCAATACATAAGCTGCAATACACTAAAGTAAGGTATGGACATTTGTGTAACCGACTTGTATTTCAAGCATACTTTTGACCGAGTTGTATGTCTAGCCTGTGTATGACCTAGTTGTATGTCAAGCCCGTGTATGACCGAGTTGTATGTCAAGCCTGTGTATGACCGAGTTGTATGTCAAGTCCGTGTATGACCGAGTAGTATGTCAAGGCTGTGTATGACTGAGTAGTATGTCAAGCTGTGTATGACCAAGTAGTATGTCAAGCATGTGTATGACCGAGTTGCATGTCAATGCTGTATATGACTGAGATGTTTGGCAAGAAGAACGAAATAGCCGTCAAACAATGTACACTTAGAACGAGGTAAACGTAACTTCCGGTGTAATTTTTTTTACATCTAAAGTCAATATAGCCCTTTTCTGAACATCATCGAAGAGCCATAGAAAATCAAAACAGTTTCATAATTTATTTTCTTTCATGACTTTGTAAATACTACACAATTCATTTCAAAGACGCTATTTCAATACCAAGCTTTTGTCCGATGTATGATCATGAGAATCAATTCAAGTAGTTTACAATGCTATTTACTAAGTTCCCGTGTTATTACGTCATCCTTGTCCTTATTGTTCTTTGTATATCAATATTGGCCTTGATGTTGTTTGTATAGTTTTGTTGTCCCTGTTGTTGTTTTTATATTTTCTTGTCTGTGCTGTTAAGGTGTTTTTCTTGTGCCTAATGCTGTTCGAATGTTTCACTTGTCCAGGTTACTTTAGGCAGTTTTTTTCTTCTTTCTGTTGTATTCAAATATCGAAATCTTATTCACAGATTCAGGTATTATTTCATTTTACTGTATGGATGTATTTGTTGGTGTTGTTGTTGTAGGGATGTATTTGTTGGTGCTGTTGTTGTAGGGATGTATTTGTTGGTGCTGTTGTTGTAGGGATGTATTTGTTGGTGCTGTTGTTGTAGGGATGTATTTGTTGGTGCTGTTGTTGTAGGGATGTATTTGTTGGTGCTGTTGTTGTAGGGATGTATTTCTTGGTGTTGTTGTTGTAGGGATGTATTTGTTGGTGCTGTTGTTGTAGGGATGTATTTCTTGGTGTTGTTGCTGTAGGGATGTATTTGTTGGTGCTGTTGTTGTAGGGATGTATTTCTTGGTGCTGTTGTTGTATGGATGTATTTCTTGGTGCTGTTGTTGTAGGGATGTATTTCTTGGTGCTGTTGTTGTAGGCATGTATTTCTTGGTGCTGTTGTTGTAGGGATGTATTTGTTGGTGCTGTTGTTGTGTGGATGTATTTGTTGGTGCTGTTGTTGTAGGGATGTATTTGTTGGTGCTGTTGTTGTAGGGATGTATTTGTTGGTGCTGTTGTTGTAGGGATGTATTTGTTGGTGCTGTTGTTGTAGGGATGTATTTGTTGGTGCTGTTGTTGTAGGGATGTATTTGTTGGTGCTGTTGTTGTGTGGATGTATTTGTTGGTGCTGTTGTTGTAGGGATGTATTTCTTGGTGCTGTTGTTGTAGGGATGTATTTCTTGGTGCTGTTGTTGTAGGGATGTATTTCTTGGTGCTGTTGTTGTGTGGATGTATTTTTGTTGCTGTTGTTGTAGGGATGTATTTCTTGGTGCTGTTGTTGTAGGGATGTATTTCTTGGTGCTGTTGTTGTAGGGATGTATTTCTTGGTGCTGTTGCTGTAGGGATGTATTTGTTGGTGCTGTTGTTGTAGGGATGTATTTGTTGGTGCTGTTGTTGTATGGATGTATTTCTTGGTTCTGTTGTTGAAGGGAGGTATTTGTTGGTGCTGTTGTTGGTGTAGGGAGGTATTTCTTGGTGCTGTTGTTGTATGGATGTATTTCTTGGTTCTGTTGTTGTAGGGATGTATTTCTTGGTGCTGTTGTTGTGTGGATGTATTTCTTGGTGCTGTTGTTGTGTGGATGTATTTCTTGGTGCTGTTGTTGTATGGATGTATTTCTTGGTGCTGTTGTTGTATGGATGTATTTCTTGGTGCTGTTGTTGTGTGGATGTATTTCTTGGTGCTGTTGTTGTATGGATGTATTTCTTGGTGCTGTTGTTGTATGGATGTATGTCTTGGTGCTGTTGTTGAAGGGATGTATTTCTCGGTGCTGTTGTTGTATGGATGTATTTCTTGGTGCTGTTGTTGTGTGGATGTATTTCTTGGTGCTGTTGTTATATGGATGTATGTCTTCGTTCTAATGTTGTAGGGATGTATTTCTTGGTGCTGTTGTTGTATGGATGTATTTCTTGGTGCTGTTGTTGTATAGATGTATCTCTTGTTGCGGTTGTTGTATAGACGTATCTCTTGTTGCGGTTGTTGTATAGACGTATCTCTGTTGTTGTGTATTTCTTGGTGCTGTTGTTGTATGGATGTATGTTGGTTGTTGTATAGTATTTCGTATCTCGTGTTGCGGTTGTTGTATAGACGTATCTCTTGTTGCGGTTGTTGTATGGACGTATCTCTTGTTGCGGTTGTTGTATAGACGTATCTCTTGTTGCGGTTTTTGTATAGACGTATCTCTTGTTGCGGTTGTTGTATAGACGTATCTCTTGTTGCGGGTGTTGTGTGGATGTATTTCTTGGTGCTGTTGTTGTATAGACGTATCTCTTGTTGCGGTTGTTGTGTGGATGTATTTCTTGGTGCTGTTGTTGTATAGACGTATCTCTTGTTGCGGTTGTTGTGTGGATGTATTTCTTGGTGCTGTTGTTGTATAGACGTATCTCTTGTTGCGGTTGTTGTATAGACGTATCTCTTGTTGCGGTTGTTGTATAGACGTATCTCTTGTTGCGGTTGTTGTGTGGATGTATTTCTTGGTGCTGTTGTTGTATAGACGTATCTCTTGTTGCGGTTGTTGTGTGGATGTATTTCTTGGTGCTGTTGTTGTATAGACGTATCTCTTGTTGCGGTTGTTGTATAGACGTATCTCTTGTTGCGGTTGTTGTATAGACGTATCTCTTGTTGCTGTTGTTGTATAGACGTATCTCTTGGTGCTGTTGTTGTATAGACCTATCTCTTGGTGCTGTTGTTGTATAGACGTATCTCTTGTTGCGGTTGTTGTATAGGTGCTGTTGTTGTACGTATCTCTTGGTGCTGTTGTTGTAGGGATGTATTTGTTGGTTCTGTTGTTGTAGGGATGTATTTCTTGGTTCTGTTGTTGTAGGTGCCGTTGTTGTGTGGATGTATTTCTTGGTGCTGTTGTTGTATGGATGTATTTCTTGTTGCGGTTGTTATGTGATGCTGTTATTGTTTCTGTTGTTCTTTTTTTTTTTATCTCTCTCATTTGAATAAAGGTGGGAGATATCTTACATTGGTTCTTCTATTTTTATGAGTTTTCTAATAATTTGTTTGTGTGGGCTTAAAGATTTCTAAATGACGGTTGCTGTACAACTTTATAACCCAAAGCCGACTTTTAGTGCACTGTCGTAAAGTATCTGTGAGCTTGACCTCCAGATAAAACGTCATATAAGTGCGAATTTCTCAATAAATTCTTGTCTGGGCAATTATATTTTAACCGTCAAAGATATCTTAATGAAAGTTGGTGTACATCTCTATAATCTAATCCATGTGTAGTATACTGGTGATAGTTCACTTAATATCAAGTTCAGAGGATAGAATGTTAACTCAAGGAATGACCTTACTGGGAACCCTGTCGAACTCCAGCCTTATAGTCTTTTTTATGGAGTTTTGTAACAGTTAAATGTTCTGTGACTTCACGGTTAGTTGAGTCACCCCAGCAATTTTAATTTACAAGAGAAGTTCTGTCTCATCAGTTTGATGTCTCGTGTTCTGGCTTCAACACTGATCAGGTAAGTTAAACTAATAGAGGATAAGTTAAAGCACTTGTTCATCAAATATGTATAAAATGTGATGTTTGATGTTTTGATATTAAGTAGTGTGTTTTTTTAATATTATCAGTCAATTCTGATGAAGAACCATACTGTACACTAACTACTATATTTAGTATATACACTTGTCTCTACTCCATAGCTACCAAACTTATCAATACTGTTTACTGTAACACAATGTCAATCAAATTAAATTAATAATTTAACAACATTTTTATCATGCACACCTATCCTAGTAGGGCACCAGATATACGAATCTGCTTGAAAGGGGATACATGTTTTTGTTCACCGAAACAAATCTCTTGTGTTTTTCTTGTTGTTGTTGTTGTTGTGGGTAACGATTCCTTGACATTGTACACTTGTCCATGCATTTTGCATCACGTGTTCAGGTCCATTCACCTTTTCTATAATACACGACTGTAATTTAAATGCGTTACCTCCCCTTAAACATCAGAGAGACGTATAATGTTACAAAGCCAGCCATCTTATTAGTGATCCGGTGGAGATAGTCTTAGAGGAATAATGAACATAAACAGGTCAAATTATTCTCGTTTGAAAACAAAATACCTTAACATTAAAACCTTTGCTTTTGTCCTCCTTAACCTTACAGTGTCTACAATGAATAATCGGAGTAAATGGAGTTTAAGCTCCAACTAAAGTCAACATGAACGGCTACCTTATATACAGATCAATGAAGGCCAATAATGTGTGGACGGTTAGAATGGCCTTGAACTTTTCTCAGGAAATCAACATACCGGTTGGAGAGTCATTCATAACTACGCTAGTCGATTTCATCAACGAACTAAGAATGCATGCACTGGACAGTTCGATCGTTGCCATGCCAACACGCACAATAAGCAATAAAAATGTCCTTCGCAATGCGTGAAGGTAGAAAAGTTCACATGTGCTAGGTGATCAATAGGCAGAGCTACGTCTTCTTTACCCACCAACAAACGTGCTGAACGTGGTCGCGCTCCCCATTCATGGATCTGCATGAATGAGTGTATACTCAACTACAGATAATGACAAGTTTGATATGCATCACGTGATTTCTGGGCGAGGTCTATTAATGATTTTTTTCTGGAGATTTTCATTCAGTTTGTCGTTACTATCAAAAATTGCTTTGCATTGATAGAATATAGATTATTTCTGCATGGAAAAGCCGATTGATGGAGACAAAAACACTGCGAAGACAATACCGTCACAGTCGTTACAGCACAACGTCTGTTTCTCATTACATAGCAAGTGCGTTTATAATTAAACATTTTCAAAGGATAAGAACAGAATGCAATATCTAAAATGTCATTGAAGTTTCCACTCCTTATGTCAACACGTAAATACAAATTTAATTAAAGTGCACGCTTTTGATTCAGGCGATTTGGAAACAACAACTGATCACATCGAAGATTTAATTTAGATATATGATACGTTTGAAGAATCCTCGTGTCCATCTTTGATTGTCAACTTTTGCGTCATTCATCAATTATTTTGGACTCTTAATGTGAAAAACCCCGGCACAGTCTACATTTTCAGCACTTGTATACAACCTGACTATTATAACGGCCACCGACTGCTCTAGTAAAAACTGTCGATTGTTACTTCAAAAACAAGCGACGATTCCAGTTATGAATTTCGTTTCAAAATGTTATAATATCGTATAAATTGTTGTTTATAATATTGAAATTATCAGAATTAGAATAATTTCCTATATCATACTGCTTATCGGGACGTTGTCATTGTTTGATACTTTCAAGGCATATACCGACGTAGGCAGCTGATGTTCACGATTTCAAAAAGGTAGAATTGTACGCTTGATTGAGCAAAAAGCCGAGGTGGAGAGCACCAAGTCGATGTGGAGAGCAACAAGTCGAGGTGGAGATCAACAAGACGAGGTGGAGAGCAACAAGTCGAGGTGGAGAGCAACAAGACGAGGTGGAGAGTAACAAGCCGCGGTGGAGAGCAACAAGACGAGGTGGAGAGTAACAAGCCGAGGTGGAGAGCAACAAGACGAGGTGGAGAGCAACAAGACGAGGTGGAGAGCAACAAGACGAGGTGGTGAGTAACAAGCCGCGGTGGAGAGCAACAAGACGAGGTGGTGAGTAACAAGCCGCGGTGGAGAGCAACAAGACGAGGTGGAGAGTAACAAGCCGAGGTGGAGAGCAACAAGACGAGGTGGAGAGTAACAAGCCGAGGTGGAGAGCAACAAGACGAGGTGGTGAGTAACAAGCCGCGGTGGAGAGCAACAAGACGAGGTGGAGAGCAACAAGACGAGGTGGAGAGCAACAAGACGAGGTGGTGAGTAACAAGCCGCGGTGGAGAGCAACAAGACGAGGTGGAGAGTAACAAGCCGAGGTGGAGAGCAACAAGTCGATGTGGTGAGCAACAAGTCGATGTGGAGAGCAACAAGTCGATGTGGTGAGCAACAAGTCGATGTGGTGAGCAACAAGTCGATGTGGAGAGCAACAAGACGAGGTGGAGAGTAACAAGCCGAGGTGGAGAGTAACAAGCCGAGGTGGAGAGCAACAAGACGAGGTGGAGAGTAACAAGCCGAGGTGGAGAGCAACAAGTCGATGTGGTGAGCAACAAGTCGATGTGGAGAGCAACAAGTCGATGTGGTGAGCAACAAGTCGATGTGGGGAGCAACAAGTCGAGGTGGAAAGCAACAAGTCGATGTGGAGAGCAACATGTCGAGGTGGAGAGCAACAAGTTAAGGTGGAGATCAACAAGTCGAGGTAGAGAGCAATAAGTCGAGGTTGAAAGCAACAAGACGAGGTGGTGAGCAACAAGTCGAGATGGAGATCAACAAGTCGATGTGGGGAATAACAAGTCGAGGTGGAAAGCAACAAGTCGATGTGGAGATCAACAAGTCGAGGTGTAGAGCAACACGTCGAGGTGGAAAACAACAAGACGAGGTGGAAAACAACAAGTCGAGATGGAAAACAACAAGTCGAGGTGGAAAGCAACAAGTCGAGATGGAAAACAACAAGTCGAGGTGGAAAGCAACACGTCGAGGTGGAAAGCAACAAGTCGAGATGGAAAACAACAAGTCGAGGTGGAAAGCAACAAGTCGAGGTGGAAAGCAACAAGTCGAGATGGAAAACAACAAGTCGAGGTGGAAAGCAACAAGTCGAGGTGGAGAGCAACAAGTCGATGTGGGGAGCAACAAGTCGATGTGGGGAGCAACAAGTCGATGTGGGGAGCAACAAGTCGAGGTGGAAAGCAACAAGTCGAGATGGAAAACAACAAGTCGAGGTGGAAAACAACAAGTCGAGGTGGAAAGCAACAAGTCGAGGTGGAGAGCAACAAGTCGAGGTAGAGAGCAATAAGTCGAGGTTGAAAGCAACAAGACGAGGTGGAGATCAACAAGTCGAGATGGAGATCAACAAGTCGAGATGGAAAACAACAAGTCGAGGTGGAAAACAACAAGTCGAGGTGGAAAGCAACAAGTCGAGGTGGAGAGCAACAAGTCGAGGTGGAGAGCAACAAGTCGAGGTGGAAAGCAACAAGTCGATGTGGAGAGCAACATGTCGAGGTGTAGAGCAACACGTCGAGGTGGAAAACAACAAGTCGAGGTGGAGAGCAACAAGTTAAGGTGGAGAGCAACAAATCGAGGTGGAGATCAACAAGTCGAAGTTGAAAGCAACAAGACGAGGTGGTGAGCAACAAGTCGAGATGGAGATCAACAGGTCGAGGTGGAGAGCAACAAGACGAGGTGGAGAGCAGCAAGACGAGGTGGAGATCAACAAGCCGGTGTGGAGATCAACAAGCCGAGCAACAAGACGAAGTGGACATCAACAAGCCGGTGTGGAGATCAACAAGTCGAGGTGGAGAGCAATTACACATGGTTATCCTATAAATTTCATGTTTTTGCTCCTGGATTTCTTAGGAGTCAATCCTGTCGCTACGCTTACACCGATCTGCCTTCAATATTTTAACCTTGTCATGGTATTTGGTGTAGAAATTTCTGATTCGTCCTGGTCATAAAAACATAGACACCTTCATCGTATTTAACGTAAGAATCGTCCACTCATCCAGATGATCACAACATTCTCGTTTAGGATCAAAATCAATATCTTATCCCCACACTTCTGTTAATTTCTCAGGTTTAGTTACTTTCTCTATGTCAGCAGATCACGGGTTTGCAAAGAATCGAGGTACGTGATGGTTATTGTGTATGTTGGATGGGCATCCTGCTGGTTGTTAAGGGTCCGTAAGATTTGGGAATCGTGGCAGTCGCTAAGATGAGGTCTTGGATGGGAATAAAAGGTTTTTACATTACAGAAGAAACCAATTTTAGTTACGACGGTAAGTGATACAATGTGCATTTACATGTCACGTGAGAGTACCATGACAAAATGTACAGATGGTTGATGTCTCTCAACAGGACTGACAGCCAGTAGTTCTCCGGTGTGTTGAACAACGCAATACTCACTTATTCTCTTCTTTAATAAAATATCACGAAATCAGAAATTCCATGTCGAATTGGATGTTTTTTGTGCTACAGTTAAAATACAGTAAGACATACAGTTTTCATATCATTGTAGATCTGTATCTTCAGCTCACCAGCGATAAACTGTACTTCTTTATATTCGATGCACATATTTATCGTTCAGTAACATGTATGTGTTTGTACACTGGTGTATGTTTTCAAGAGAGGGTCCATGAGCCCCGGTGGGAGATCTAAGGGCGAAGTAAAAGTAAAAACAAACGTCAGAAAACTCACTTTCACTCGAGTGCATGCTGAAGTATACAAGTGTACGTTATTGCTACGTCTCTGCCTACTACAGTATAAGTTTGAGGTTGTTTGGGTACTTGAAACTATCTGCCGTATTAATGGTACATTGTTTATACCTGGTTGTAGGGACAATTGTGTTTACCTTTACCTGTTTCCTTTATCTATTTACACTATGGTTTGCATTGAATCAGCAGTGTACTTGTATGATTACAATTTAACAACAATTTGCTATTTTTCTGGCTTTCTGTTTTTACTTGGGTTTTGCATTTGAGTACATCCTTATTTGTATGTATTTTGTCTGGGAACATTTAAATTGCGTTCTATCTTTGCATGGGTACATTTCCATTGATTTTTGCAATAATTTGAATACATCTTAATTGAATGTGTTTAAACTGTGTCCTGTGTCTGTTTAGGTGCTTTGAAGGTGTTGTTGGGATTTATCTATTTATCTTCTTATTTCTATTTATTTATTTATGTTTAACGCATAAGTGAAAATCCTGATGCAGTGATATCAGCTGTTAGCATATATATATCAGCACTAAGAACTCTATTAGTTTTCAGCAAACAACAATAATATATTTAATTTAAAAATGATTATGTAATTGTATTATAATTGCTTACATGTAAATATCAAATTTTTGGCGTTTTGCTTTTATTCCATGTATTAATATCCACATGTGAAAGCATCTAAAAGACAGAAATAAATTGAAAAAAACGGGAAAAATTACTTAGCACACACCATTTCAAGTTGAACGAGATCCATTTTTATATTTAAATTTTTATCTAAATTGTGAAATTTTGTAAAGTTAAATATTTCAATAAACTTTACAAAATTTCACAATTTAGATAAAAATTTAAAATATATTTTGTTAAATTTTAAAAGGAAAACATTTTTATTTATCTGATACTTACATTGAATTTATTATTAAGATGATAAACTCACTTATATTGAATACATGTGTACATGTGTGACGTGTTATTTTACAAGCTTCGTTCCTTATATCAGCATTACCTATTCAGTATGTCAATTTGTTTACATCTTTTACATGGGTACAATGTAGCATATATTTATATACCATGTTGTGTCAATTTTACATAAATTTGAAAATGTTTTCATATATAATTTTATAGAATCATAATCAATATATACGTTCTCTTTAAACATAAATTTCATTTGCATTATTCATTCAAGTCAACTGTTAATTTGAGAAGATATCGTTTGATATATGCATCGTTTCAAATAAATGATGTAGGTATATAAGGTTACTTACTTCACATTGTTCTAAGTGGTTAATCGGAGTTCTATCTAGACATATTGTGATCACATTGATTAAATGTTGACACATTTCACGTCAATGATTAAAGAACAAATAGCTACAAGTATTCGTGTAATCACAATTTATTTGGATGGAATGATTGTAGAAGTAATAAAAAAACAATACAAACATAAGTAAAAATATACCAGCTTTCAAATTAAAATATATATATATGTATCAGAAATGTTCTCATTTATACAATATATGTGAATTAGCATAACTATTATAAAAATAATATAACGTTAATATACAAATTCACTGTATTTTATCACATGCGTTTTTGTTTCATTGGAGATTTTGTAACAAGTCTCAGAGCCTTACATATTTTTTATTTTTGCTCGTCAAGGCTCACAGAAATGAAAAATTTCTATGACTCGTGTAATGAAATGTAATATGAAATGAAAAAAAAAATCTTTTAATCACATAAACACAAGTTACATTTGACAAGTTTTAGAGTTAACAGCGGAGTAGAAAGGTAGCAATTTACTTACACCATTTTTCAATTTATGACGTACCGTCATTGTCCATATTATGACATCACCCTTTTCAGACTGGCATAGCCAATAAAAAACGCTCCAGGGTATATAACACTAGTGACATATTCACAAAAATATTACATGGTAAATTCAATGGCCGAATTATGTGATAGATGTAATTGTCTGAAGCTTACTCAGGATAAAATACACTGATTAGGATTCACTAGGTATTTTGTTAGACAACTTTTATCATTTTTTTTTCTTTTTAAAATCATTAACTAATTTGTCGATTTCTATAAAGTAGCATTTCTGATTCTCCAATAAACATAAATCAAATATCGAAAATCAGTCGATTTTCTTACTCCAAAATTAATTTTAGATAAATTTCGACATTGGAAACAATTTAATACACATGATATGCACGTTGATGTCTATAGGAGCGTTTTATGGTTGTCCCCAGGATCACATCTATAATATCCTAAATTGTGACGTATGAAGTTCGACGTGTACGACGCTAAATGGTATTTTGATGGTATAACCGACGTTATAAATTCCTACCCAGAACTTCAAGAAATACATACATAGGAAACTATGAAATCGAGTATCTGTAAATTGTACTGTAAAAACATCCTTCTTATAAACAAATAGCGAAGCAAACAAAAACAAAAAGGCGGACATCCGAATAGCTTTTTTCATTGTATCGAGAGCAAAGATTAACACAGGCTCCTTTCTCGGTTAGAATTTTTTACCTCTTTACCTTTCGCTTTTGACAAAATGGAAGATTTTCAGCAATGAAAACAATAGATTACAGCCGATATCAAAGATAGATACAATGTTTAAGATAATTGTTGCGACACTTTCGTATACTGTTCTCAAGATTTATATCATGTGTACAAAGATCGAAGCTATTTTAAGTCTTTATTCAACCTTGAAATAAGCCATGAACATTAACTGAAACCACAATGGTCGTACAGGAAAATTACAATAAGATATGACATTGCTTTTTCATGTTTTATTCATGAAAATGTTTCACCAGAATCCGTCAGCGGAAATGTTGTTAATAGAGAGTGTTTGGTGTAGTAAGCAGCTAGATTTATATACAGGTTTAACATTTCATTATATGTCAGTTCTATTAAAAATGACAAAACAGGTTAAGTGCACAATAAACTTCCGGAAACGGGTAAAAAAAACAAGACGATAACTCGGCGACAAATAAATCCTGAGGACCATCCCTATTATGACTGTTTCATTTGTCAATGTCATACCTCTCGTGAACACGGATTAAAATATGACAACAATAATTCAAACAATATACAACATAGCAAGGTAGTCTGTTTCTCCTACAATACATAACAAAATAGAAATTGGCTAGAAAATTCGTGTCTCCTGGTAGGTGATTCGTGTCTCCTACCATACAAACATTGTATAACATGGCTAGGTAGTTCGTGTCTCCTACCATACAAAACATTGTATAACATGGCTAGGTAGTTCGTGTCTCCTACCATACAAAGCATTGTATAACATGGCTAAATCGTTCAGGTCTTGTACCATACAAAACATTATATAACATGGCTAGGTAGTTCGTGTCTCCTACCATACAAAACATTGTATAACATGGCTAGGTAGTTCGTGTCTCCTACCATACAAAACGTTGTATAACATGGTTAAATAGTTCGTGTCTCCTACCATACAAAACATTAAATAACATGGCTAGGTAGTTCGTGTCTCCTACCATACAAAACATTGTATAACATGGCTAGGTAGGTCATGTCTCCTACCATACAAAACATTGTATAACATGGTTAAATAGTTCATATCTCCTACCATACAAAACATTGTATAACATGGTTAAATAGTTCATATCTCCTACCATACAAAACATTGTATAACATGGTTAAATAGTTCATATCTCCTACCATACAAACATTGTATAACATGGCTAGATAGTTCATGTCTCCTACCATATAAAACATTGTATAACATGGCTAGATAGGTCATGTCTCCTACCATACAAAACATTGTATAACATGGCTAAATAGTTCGTGTCTCCTACCATACAAAACA